CTGAATCGAATTGCTGAAACCGTATGGTTCAATATTAGTTTGTTAATTAGACTTATCACACAGTGAAACAGTATTATTTACTAGATGACACAGTTTCGAACAAAATTCATTTATTGTTCAAAATCATATCAATTATAATCACACGACTTTGAAACTCGAGTTTTATAGTATTTTTGTCCTCTCCTATTTGCCGTCGTAGGGGTAGTAGAATTTTCCAGATATCTGGGACAGGTGATGGATCATTCCTCTTACATGTAATTGCAGTGTGTTTACAGGAAACCCACACATTCAAACAGATATTTGAACTTCCGATCATCCCATCATATGTCAATGAAAATAGGATTGGTGAAATGTTCAAGTGACAGAGCACAAAACTAAGTAGTACCAAGGAAAATCTAAGACAGGAAATGAGGCATATAAGAGAATCTTTGAAACGTAATAATTACCCTGATAAATTAGTCAGAGAGTATGTAGGGAAATGTAAAAATAAAATAAATAATGATAGTAGCCATAGTGATAATAATAATAGTGATAAAAGTGATGATAATAATAATAATAACATTAGTGACGATACCAGTAATAAGGAATCTAAATCATCAGTAGTAATTCCATACAAGGAAGGAACTTCGGAAACCTGACGCAGAATTCTTAACAAGGCAGGAATAAAAGTGACTAGCATTCAAGCCACCCACAAACTCAATTAGAAACAAGCTTTGTCGGTTAAAGGCGCAATCCTGTGGAGCCTTTAAAACGAAACAATTTAGTTTGTCTATTACCCTACCTGCAATGATTGTCAGGTGAAATACATAGGTCAGAGTAGTGGACAGGGGCAGTCACCAGACTGGAAGAGCATAAAAACCTAGAAAAATGTAGATTGGTCGACCCGAATAAGATAAGAAATCTAGAGAATAGTTCAGCTATACCACTCATTACATGCAGTTACACACAACAATACAATAGGATGACAGTTTTAGAATCTGTCACAGCTGGGTGGAGGGAGAGATTGATAACAACGGAAGCTTTGTTTGTCGAATCAACTGCAAATACATCTAATAAGAATGATTCAACACCTGTTCACCCAGATATCTTGAAAATTCTACTACCCCTACGATGACAAATAGTAGAGGACAAAAAAACTGTAAAACTCAAGTTTCGAAGTCATGTGATTATGATTGATGTGATTATGAACAATAACGTCATCCAGTAAATAATACTGTTTCACTCACTGTGTGATACATCTAATAAACAAAATAATATGGAATTACTTATTACCGCAGTGGCCAAGTTTTACACATATATTCGTATGGTCCAAATGTACTTCAACTCTCTGGATTACCAAAAGTGCATAAGAAAGTCATACCTCTCCAACCTTTCTCTGAAATAACGAATTAGCCTAATCATCACCTTGCACAATGGCTAATAGACCTACTAGAATCAGTCAGAAGGCGGATTTCTTGCGACTTACACCAAAACTCCCTTGACTTAGTTAACTCCATTGAAAACACCAGTGTTTTCAGTCAAAACATGTTCTCAATAGATGTGGAATCACTTTTTACGAATGTCCCACTAACTGAAACAATATGCTACATTTTCGACAACACTGAGTCAAAGGGGATGAACATTGATATACCTACTGACTGTCTCAAGGAAATGCTATTGAGATGCGCTCTAAATATTCAATAGCTATGGGCTCGCCACTGAGTGTATTGTTCACTGATTTCTTCACGTCGAAACTAGAAAACGCATACCTAAAAATATGACTGATAGTTTCAGCTTTCACGAGAGATACGTGGACGACGCTTTCATTACCTCCAATAAGTTGTATAATTTGGAGGAAATCGTGGACTGCCATCCTGTGATGCAGTTCCCATTAGAGGAGTCCGACATGAAAATACTTTTTCTGAACGTTTGATTAACAAGATCGCAAACTAAAAATATCTGACAAAAAACGGACAACTCACTAACTTCCATAGTCGAGTGCTTGTATGTACGAAATGAAACCTAATCTGTTCGTTAAGCCACAGAATCCTCAGATTTTCCAGCCCTGAACTATGAAAGAAGAGCTGAACACTCTGAAAAGATTCCTTCTCGAAAATGCTTATCCCAAAAGTTTCATCATAAAATCCATGAAGCCTAGACCACTAAAACTATCAACACACTTTCTACTCCCAAAGAGCGTCTCTACTTGAATCCACAACCCAATGGAGACACATCAACAGAGATACTGAGAAACTGCCTGTCCCGCTTACTGAGCAAAATCTTCTCGGTTGAACTTCGACTAACTTCTTACACATGAAACCAATGATACACATGAACGTGAAGGATAAACTGATGCTGCTTGCCTCATCAATGTGGAGCTAAATATTTCGGCTGTACTCAACTTTCGCAATACAAACGCCCCATAGAACACTTACCCTCGTCGTTTCTTAAAGGTCCCCCCGCCACAGTTCTATTCTGGAACACCTGATCGAATCAGACACCAAGCTAACCCACAAACTAACTTCAGATTCATCTACAGAATACACGGGAATCTCACTAAAGCAATACGAATCAAACTTCTTCAAACCGCGGAAGCGATGGTAATTCACATGTTAAATCATGAACTCTGCATACAGAAGAAGATTATCCAGTTACTAAATCTACAGTAGACTTCATCTGTCTTAACACGGTGCATCGGTGGCATTGCGGTTAGGATGCTCGCCGACCATGCACATGGTACGGGGTTCGATCCCCGACCACGGACGCACTCCTTTACCTCGCTAAGCCAGAAATAATGCTTGTAAAGAGGAAAGGTTGGGCATGAGGCTAGAAACCATCCTGTAAAAATAATCAGCACTGCTACAGAAATTTCAAGTCATTAGCTTGAAGTCCTATGTCCCCTGGGAACGTGAAGGAGAAAAAATCTTAACACCGAAAAGTTTTATTTTGTTTTTTGTTTCTTAATTGTATTATTTTCTTCTCTCATCCCCTATTAAATCTCTACCCCTTATTACAACTATTGTTTGAATTGTACTCAACCCTGTCCATTATATTACTTCATTCAAATTATTTCTTTAATTTAATTTTAGTTTCCACCTGACTGACGCTTTCTGTTTCACGTACTTTGTCATCTGAAGCTTACAATTCTAATGACATGCCTTTAGAAATATTCCCTTTTGTTGCTGAGAAAATGAACGTATATGTGCGATTGTATAACTTGAGAATGATATCGCCGATATCCTACAGGAAGTCAATCACAATCTGGAATAGCTCAGTAGTAAAGTCTTTGGCTGCAGAACTTCCTGGGTGACGCGTGTTTGAGTCTCAAAAGTGGCATGAGTTCCTTCAAGGTTGCAGAATGCCTTCCTGACGTATCCTAGGTCAAATTGAAAACATTTATTTCCCGATACGAAATTAAAATTAACAATAAAGGTTAATAAAGCAGGATTTAATGATGGATTCATCAAATTTCGGTAGAACTCTTGCCCAGCTGAATACTCTACACACACGGATATATATACTTTTGAAATTACATTAGGAGATATAAGACTGATAAGTAAACAAACTACATTGAATTAGTCATGCAGAAACACAGGTGCGAATGTTTTCCAGGCTCTGTTCAAATAGATAAGGCAACAGGCAGTATGAGAGATCAAAATAAAGATAAATTGCATTACGCTTCAGTTACATCACTTAGATAAACAATTAGTCATTAGAGAATATAACAAGAACTGCAAACAGAGTAATATCAATAGTCATAGTTATAATAACAATAATAATAACAGTGTTGAAGTGAGTTAGGATAATCCTACTGATAAAGGATAGTTCTAAATGAATCAAGAATAATAATAAGAGATAGAATGTATTACCATGGTAGATTCAGAGTCACAACCATCTCCTTTTGTACACAGAGACCTGGTGAATAAACTCGAATTGCACAAGCCTCTGTAATTGCAAGCATCTTCTTGTTTCTTTGTCTGCTGGCAATGACAGTGAATGACTTGACAGCGTCAATATCATGTGCGTAATCCACAAGATGTTTTGTTGTTGAGGATTTTGGCACTTTGCACTCAGCCGTTTTCAACCATTTTGGCAAATGCTCCATCATGCGAGTGGAAAATCGCCTTTCTGTACGGCTTATGTATTTGCTTCCTCTCACAAATACACTCAAATTGATTTACGCAGTTTGGAGCGTCGAGGGTTGGAAACTAGTCTTTCCCAGATTGTTGAAGCACTCGCTTAGTGGTGGTGTTAAGGATAACAAGTTTTGCAGCATAATAAGTTCTCTTGATGGCTTTGTCGAGTCTTCGTTTGACTACTTCCTGTACATCATCTCCTTTGAACGGCAAACTGATATATACAAATTTCTTCGGAACTGTTTGGATAGTTTTGCAAGGGCTGATTTCTTTAGAGTATTTATTAATGAACTTCTCAAGATATCCATTCTTAGGTAAAATATCCTTCAGAGATTTTACTTCATGTTCAATCGTGCTTATTGAGCAGTGTTCTGATTAAGTTCTTTATATACTGGATTGGAACAAAGCTCTTGAAATGCATGTACTGTCCTGTCCACGAAGACTTTCTAAATATAGATCTTTCGATTGTGCCATCTATCATTTTCGCTAGAAAAACGTCTAGGAATTTAATAGTATCGTTTTCTTCGTGTTCTACTGTGAAATTGAGATTTGGATGGCATGCGTAACCTAGGTCGGATGAAGTTTTCTACCGATTGCCTCCAACCATCTAATATTAAAACAATTCACAGTGCACCGTGATGGTGAGCCACCTAGTGGCATAGAGGCCATTTGACTGACTGATGGAATTCAGTCTGTATCAAAGATAGGAATAGAAATGTCATACTAATTACTGACCAGTGTTGAATCAAAATACGAAAATCTTGCTGGAAGCCTTTCTTTTATTGTTCTAAAGATAATTAATCATTGAAAAGGAAACTTGTTTCATCTATTTATTACTTTGATTAATAGAAAAGTGTAATCTCTTCGTTTTCTTTTCTTTTTCAGTGGAAACATTGGTTGAAAATATAGACAATTAACTGAAATCTTCAAAGCAGATCAATAAAAGCGTCATCAATAAATTTATTTTCATTCAATGAATTAATTCATTAAATTTACTATTACAAGAGTATATATTTTCGTTAGTTCATTGAGAGGTGAATTATAATTATCCTTTTTAAAAAATAAAACAAAACTGTTTAAATCCTGTTGCTTCAAACTGATCAAACATTGACTCATAATGATATTACTATTATTATTCATCAGAATACACCTACTCATTATTAAGTTTATGCGTTTATTTTCGGTATTGACAATGAAAAGGGGAAAAGCTGATGATCTTAGTAGATATCTAAGCGAGGATAGAAGTGGGATAGGAATCAGCAAGTGTAAGATGTCCTCGATTGTAGATAGTGTTGATTATCTCCGCCTCTCAGGTGGAAGGCCCGGGTTCGATTTCTGTCGAGAAGCTGCATTGGTGTGAGTCGGTGGCACAGCGGTTAGGATGCTCACCGAACATACACATGGTACTGGGTTCGATCCCCTGCCATTGACACACTCCTTTACCTTGCTAAGCCAGAAATAATGCTGGTAAAGAGGGAAGGTTGTAAATGAGGCTAGCAACCCCATTCTGTAAAATTAAACACTGCTACAGGAGCTTCAAGCCACTAGGCTGAAGTCCTATGTTACACTGGGAACGTGAAGGAAAAAAATGAAAGTATAAGATGGGAAATTGTAGGCGTAACTGGGACTAAGACGATTGGAGTTCGTATGTGGAACACGATCGTGGCTGAACGGCTGCGTGGAGGGGAGGTGGGAGTTGGCAGACATCTTTTCAACTAACGCCCTCTCATTTATTTTTATTTATTTTATTTTGATTATAGTTTGATTCTAAACCGAATTTTCAGCATGTGATGTCAGTAGCCCAAATTCTGCAGGCCGATGGTTGATATCAGGTGTGCGTCGGAAAGGAATCGAACCTATACCATGTGCGTGGTTGGCAAGAGTCCTAACCGCTATGCCGCCGATCCACTTGAATAAATAATCAGTATCTGAGAGTGATTCTTAATTAACTATAAACCCTGATATCAGGCAAAAAGTGCGTCCACAATTATTATGATAGTGGTGAATTAAGTAATGTTCAACTCCGATTTACTTCTATTTGACTTCAGATTTTTCGATGAGCGATAACGAGTCAATCACTCAGATACTGATATTGAATTTGAAAACCTGCTTTTGGTCAAAAAAGGGATTCATAATAAATAACGGTTTCCTTGGATTTCCCAATGAACGAAAAACCAAAACGATATTGTAGTTGTTTTCACTGACGTTTCGCTATTTAATGCTGCTGCTAATAGCTTTATCAAAGCAGTATTATTAAACCAGAATTTACAAAATCCACTCTGCTTATGCATAACAACTTAGTCATCATTCCTCAGCATGGGGTCATTTTTCATCGTCAAATTGGCCAGTTGGTAAATATAACAAAACCAGGTGTAGATTGTTGGATTTGATCAGTGTGTAAAATTATACAAACCGCGTGTGTTTATATGGTGATATTGCTTATCACATTCCTGTTAATTTTTTCACTTCATGGGGAGGGCGTGGGTGTTGTAACCAGCCCAAGCTCTGTTTTAGTCCATCATTTTTATTTGTCAAACTATTTGGATTCCACTTGATGTGAAGTGCTTCTGATATTGGATGTTTTTTGGGATTTCTGAAGTACTTTTTCTGGATTATTTCAATATTGTTAAAATCAATTTTTCGACCTGATTCTGTAGTGTGTAGACCTATTGCTGGTGATTTTTCAGGCTTTTTTTGAGATGTAGAATCAAGAGTTACTGTCAAATGACTCCTTCGAAAAAGCTAGTTGTCTCTATTATCACATGAAAAATGAGAATCTAATGGTAGACTGTGGTCGAACGAGACTTTCTTCCCACGGTAATAATATATATATGCATTAGTTACGGGTTATTATTGAAAATATTTCGCAATTTCGTCAGAGTATCTCATTCACATTCTTCGCCTACACACTTGAATTTCTTGCTTTCTTGTGATCAGGAAGACCGAATTTCTCTTGTTATTTTTACTTCACAAACTGTGTACAGTTACATATTTGTTGAATGAGATTTATACGGGGGATAATATGAGGGATGAATGAAAGTACACACATGCAATACCTAGATTAATGCGTTATGTCATGTGCTCATTCGTCAACGATTTCTCCATATATGTTCCTGTAGGACATAAGAATTGAGAGGTCATACCTTTATCACTGTGACACAAATTTCAGATGTTGGACATGAAATGTTTGGGTTGTTTCTAGTAGTCATACGTAGCCGTCTTGTAACCGTTTCATGTATGAATGAGAGTTTAATGGAATTGCATTATTTTTGACGTTGTTATGTTGTAAAACTTTTGAATCGATTCATTTTCTGAATTGAATTGGCTCAGAAATATTGGTGGTTTCAGAGAAAATTTAGGGCATTTTTCAAAGACATTCAGCATATTATCAGGATTTTGAAGCAGAGACATTTGATGGCGCGTTTTCCCTATTAGTCTTTCACTATTTCTCTATTTATGTGCATGTGAGACATTAGAATTAATCGGCACTAAACTATACAAATCAGTGTTGTATAAAATGATTAGGTTCAACATTGAATTAAATTTAGTAAAAGCGAGGTCTTCACTGACTAATATGTTTTTAATCATTTCTTTCTTCGAAGCTGTGATATTTAATGCTGGTGAACCAACTCGAAGTTAAGCCTGGAAGGTGAGAGACATTAAACTTTACTCAAGTGTTGGTTGAATTTTAGGAGCGAATTATCATAAAAGTGTGACAAAATTAACTATTATCACCATTTGTACTCGCTAGCGAAATCATCTTCCACTGTTGAGCAAATTAGTACTCATTTGAGATTCTAATGTGTATTCATTTGTTGCAGATAGAGGCTTTCTTATTGAAATATTCATATCATATATTGGTTGTTATAAGGAATAGCTACGACAAAGTGTGAACTCATTAGTCACTTTGAACGCATACCGTCCGTTGGATTTCAGAATCTTCTGTGCATCTCCTATACATCAAGACTGCGTTTAATTATGAGGAAAATTAACATAATAGTAATAATGATAATAATAATAACGGAACACATTATTATTATATCCTTTAGTTCCTAGAGGAACATAGGGCTTCAACTGCACACCTCCACTGCCTTCTGTTTTCTGCCGACATTTTCACCCCGCTCCAAGTCTGTCCACATGCTTTCATCTCCTCTTCACATCACCTCCTCCAAGTCACCCTTGTATTGACGACCAACTCACCGATTCCCACTCGGGTTCCCTCGAGCAATGGCTTGTCTAGTGGTGTCACTCACTTGATGGTTTCCTCAGAGTATGGCCAATCCATCTCCATTTCTTCCTGCTTATTCGTTACACAATCAGTTCCTGGTTGCTTGGCTCATTGCCAGAGATCCCTGTTGCTGATCTTTTCTGGCCAGCCATCTGATCTTGATTATTAAGCGAAGACAACTGTTGATGAAGGTTTCAAGTTTGTTTGAGGAACACATTAAAGACGAATATTTTTTACCCTGACGTATCTAAAATTTACTTCCCGCTTACGATGAATTCTATGAGTTCTCGAATTTCGACTTCGTTGACATGAACATTGAAACACTCCCCTGCCATTTATTTGTGGGAAATTTACGAATAATAACAATAATAAAACCTAACGCTTATCGTAGCCACAACTCAAACCATGATATTAATCCTAACCCTAATGTGCTATCAATCAACTGTTCAAACAGTACTTGAAAACGAGATCAGGATAAAATCTGTGTGTCAGTTCATAACCGGTGTTCCTACTGACTACGTAATAACGGCGTGCAGGTTTACTCAGTGAAACCACGTATTTGCTCTGACTTTCGTCTAATCTGATATGTAGTGAAGGCATCTCTTAACGTTTTGTCCTTCAGTCCATTTTTGTAATGTTGAACTTGAATTGTGTCCTGTCTCCATTTTTTCTGAAGGATTTCAGCTTCGCCTTGAAGGTTTCTTGATCTAGATGATATTCTGAGCTCACATCTGCTTCCCTTTTTGAACTTTGTATCCAGCAGGCTGCGTCTCCACTTCCTTGATTTTGAGATGAACAGGTTAATTATCTACTTATGACTCACTTAACGAGCATACCGTGTTAAAAATTCACCATAAATTCTATTTTTGGCTCTCGTAGATATCTCTTTCCCTTTATATGCTAGACAGTTAAAAAAAGGTTCCATTTCAACTATTTTATGTTTCGGTCTAGGCATTTTTTTCAGTTGAAGAGAATCCATGAAACAATATGAGTTCGTGTTCATTCTTCCTCTATTCAATTCCCTATTTTTACACACAGTCCATTTTCCAGTTCAAGCTCATTATTCTCACAATGCCAGTCCACTTCGCTTTTTTGTAGTAGAATACAAAAGGATAAATTCCATCACTAGAGATTCTGCATTATAAGTCCTCAGGTTCTATCAAAAACGTGTCGCTTTGAACCACCCCCGCATCAAAACAGAAATAAGTAGTACACCTAAAAATTGTATAGAATTGCTTTGTAAATACTATAATTTCATTGAAATCTACTCATCTGCATTTTGGTGGAAAGAGAAACCGGTTTAAAGATTTCATCATGAGTAGACATCAGTCAGAGGACTATTGGAAAACCAGCTTAGAGTACTGCCAGACAGTTGTTTCTTACGTTCTCGTTTCGGACCCGTCATCAGTACACATCCACCACCAGAGTTCGAACTTAAGACCTTCTGGTTACAAGGCTATTTAGCTGGTAGACCATTAAGTCACTCACCGGGACCCGATCCAAAGGCCAGCCAGCCCATGAATCGTAACATAGTGTGACCATTTCTCAATGTTTTCTTCGCTGAGTTACTACTTCACCTTCAAGTTACTGTATCCTACTAGTCACGGCTTCCCACTATTCTGGTGAGAGCTGGCTGCTAGCCAGATTGGTAGACAGTAATTTACGTCAATGTTTACGTCCC